AAGTTGTTTCGGGTTTGCGCCCGCACAGCTCAGAGCACGCTCGAGCTGCGTCCAATTCAAATCTCCATTTGATTCTCCATTATTAAAGGGGATACAAAGCAGTCAAAAGCGCCTCATCCCGGTCATAGTCATCCCCAGAAACATCATCATCTGGCAGGGCCGCGTCCAGTGGATTGTCCAAAGGATCATCCTGCAAGCGGGCGTGCTCATGCGATGCCCAGTGGGGTGGTTCCCAAAATTAGGGCCCCGTTGTGGTATCCCATTTAAATATTAGGCGCCATAATGTAGTTTCAAACCGGAAAGGGCACAGAATTTTGAGAACAAGCCCTGTAATTATGACAACCCATGGGGCCATGGGTCGCTGCCACGCATAATCCGCACCTTCGCCATGTCAGCCAGCCGCTATTCCCTGCGTTTGAGCCAAGCCACTGAGGTACGAAAATCTTACTATCCCTCTAGCATCCCGCGCTGAGCAGGTCAGGGCACTCCGTCACATCAGCAAAGCGCCTATAGTACGTTATCTGAAATTAATTTCTTTTATTAGATTGTATTGAATATACTATATTTCTCCCGCGCGCTCGTGTACTCTGCGCAGTATGGCGTAGTACGGCGCTGCTCAAAGGCTTCCGCTGCATGTAAGACAAGTTCTTCTCCTGCTTGTGCTCGCTTTAGCATCACTACGTCTTCGGGTGAAACCATGCTGACTGCCATCAACCAGACTTTATTTGTCCATGGATGTCTTTCTGTGACACAGTTACTGCATGATGAAGATGCATGTCAAGTGAAGTGCCCCGCTCACGAGTGTCAGGATGTGCGAGCCTGCGATGGCTTCGACGTTCGCTATTACTGATGTGCTCCGGTTGACTCACATGTTTGAGTCATTGGACGGAGCCTTGCCAAATAAGCTTTCCTACAGCGGTCCTCGTTGGCAGCTTTCCTAAATAGGGGGACCCCAATATGATTCCAAATACATACCACTATTCATATGGGGACTCCCCAAAAGGTGCCTCTAATTTTTGGGTAAGCCACAATGATCATAATCGCTCCCATTATAGTAGTTTCCATTTTCTCTTCCATTATCCCTATATAACCTGTCTAACCCCAATATAACCCCTATGTAGCCCACGTGCCCCATATTCTAAAGCTATGAAATCATGGCTGTTGACCATCCTCACGTAATGCGTGCGGCCATCTACAATTGAGTCGGCCATCTTCATAGTACTGGGTTGCGAGCCTCTGCACCAAGGAGGATGGTCTTCACAGGTCCTCGGCGAGAAGAGATTTTTGTCAAGGCCCCGCGTCTGAATTGAGCATTGAAGTTGACTGAATGCATCCAAGTAGCCGCATTCTTTGTATGAAGCTTCGGCCGCGTCGGAGGTTTGACTTTGCAGATTGACGTGCTTGAATTTTCGCCCAGCATTGTGGTCAGCACGTTGGAGCTTTCTGTACGCTGGCGAGTCTTTCGCTGGCCGGAGCCAGGTGATTTGAGCGCTTCTTCGCCTTGATCACCTTATTCTGAAATCATCTCTGACACTCCTCATGATGATGTCTTTCCTTGCACGGTCAGGTCAAAGCGAAGCTAGACACCAGCCACTCGAATTTCGCCACCTCCGTAGTGTTTTGAGTGAGGATTTGAATGTGTATCTTGCTTCTAAGGTCTCGCAACCCCGGCGGGTGGTATGAGCAGTGGCCTTGATCAAAATCACTTTCAGAGGCAGTGTCGTAGGCCAACATCTTGACTTTCACTCTGGAATCTGTTGTGCATACATCTCTGGGGGCTGCTGACTGACTGCTGCTACAACACCAACAATACTGCCGCTGCACATCATTTCGCATAGAGCGTTGGCATCTATGAATGTGCTGACTTGTAGCTGAAAGCACTGCCACGCGAAGAATAGACTGTAACTCGCGGAATTCCACAGGCACGATGGCCGAATTTTTGCAAAGAAGGCAAGCTGACCTTGGGCTCAAAGTGTCAATTCTGGTGCAAGCGCTGATGGCCGGAGCCAAACTGCAATTGAACTCTACAGTTTTCAGCCTACAGTGGGCTGCATCTCATTGCATTGCAATGCTTTTTGTAGGTGGCCGGAGCCCTCACGTAGTTCCTTCTTCGTTTAAAAAGCTCTCAGCTGTCCTCTCCTGCCTTTCGAGCGGCAATCGCGAACGATGCTCCACTGGGCTCCCTCATCCCTCCACAGGAAAGGCTGATGACTCTGTCGTCAGCAGTTTGCACTCTCACGTGTTTTCCACGTCTTTCCAGGAAAAAAAAACATGTGCACCACGACGCCTTAGCCTCGCGCCAGGGATTCTGTGAGCTTGGCAAAAACTTCCTGCAAATGCATCTTTGTAGCCAATTTCAGCGTCTCTCCACGCCGCAGTTTTTGCAGCTGGTGATTGCTGCCGCTCTGCTGTTTCCTCAATTTGAGGCTTTCGATCCGAACCTGGTGTAGCGATGGAAAACACTTTGAGACGACTGGGCGCCCACGCTTACACATCCAAATTAGCACACGCGCCTTCAGCTGGCGGGTCTGGAAAGAGCTGCCAACTTTCTGCGTACCAAATTGTGATGTCCATGAGGATATGGTGGTTGATACCAGCAAAACCAAACTTGTTAACGAAGGCCATGAACCGAATTGCAGTACTTGTCAACAAAGCCAGTGTTGCTTACAACATGTGGTCCAGTGTTGCGTCCAGGATGCGCACGCGGAAGTTTGCTGCATGCGCCCTCAAACAAAAAGCCAGCCTACAGTACAACAAGCAGAGCTGAGAACAACGGGTTGACACAGTGTGCTGATGCCTGTTCCCCCATCTTCACCTTATGGACTTCTTGACTTCCAGAACTCAATTTGATCTGCAAACTTGGTTACCCTGCGCAAAGGGGGAAGCAGGCTTGGCTTGACACCTCAAGGAGACGATACCTCACGTAGCAACATGCCCCGAGCCTTGTAGTGACTGCCTGGGTTTAGAGGATCCTCCTGCGAGACCTTTGCAGCGCAGGAACCTTCCGGGACAACGTGAGCTTATTGGCAGAGTCCAGTGATGTCCCAGAAAGAGTCAACCATTTGTGTATGAAGGTTCCACTGGGGTCTGATTGAGCTCCGCTGCAAAAGCCAACCTCAGCCCATTTGGGTGAAGGGCGCCTACGTGGAAGACAGTAGCAGAAATCGAAGAGCTCTGATGCCTGCATTGGACAAGATGGCCTGGGCCAGGCAAGCTGTCTCGGAACTGTGTCCGGCTATGGGCTGGCCGGAGCCAGAAGTTGATCACATCTGGCAAGAACAAAACTGTGCTGGCCGGAGCCAGAAAGCCGAGGCCTGGATCTCTTGCAACGTGAAGTCAGCTCCAAGAGCTCCTTGTGGGTCTTTGGCCGGAGCCATGCTCGGGTGCATCTTTGCATCGCCGAGCTCCGCGTTTGGGTGGCCGGAGCCATCTACCTCCGATGTGATCCTGCAACTCGCGAACTTCGCGTGTTGGTGGAAGATGAGCACCCTCTCCTGTTAAGGCGGGGGGGTCAAGGCCTCAAGGCCGTGCAAGGTGTAACACAAGAGCGCATAAGGGAGCCTCTTCAGGGAGACTGCTTCACATGCGAGGAAGACGCTTCTCAGGTGGTCAGGTGGACTCGGAGACTCTCGCCTTACCAGCCTGGCGTCCCTCAAACAATGAGCGGACGTTCGCGGGTTCTCAAAGTTGAAATCAGCCTGGGCTTCTGGATCAAGCTTGTACAATGGACTGCGCAGAGTGTTAGCTTAAAGGACTTTTAGATGTTCAAGGCTTGAGGTTGGACCAAAGCCTGGCTGGTACGTCCTGAAGCTGTCAGAAGTGGCTAACAAGCACAAAGGTTCACACAAATTCATAGCTTCCGTGCACCTCGCGGTTTCCTGGACTACAGTCAGGGACCACGCGCCCAATTTCTCCTGACAAGAAGTGCAGGCAATGCTAATTCGGAGCTGTTTCGTTGAAGGCCTCAGTTCAAGCACAGGGCTGAGTTTGCATTCCCCGAATTTGTCGGGCAGTTACAAAATGCCACAAAGCTTGGGCGCCATGCTCTGGAATGTAGTGCATGGAACTGCGTCAACGGGAATACTTGCACAGAGAACGAAAGATTTTGCAGCACAATTCATGCAGAACCGTAGACCTAGCGAGATGGTGAGGTCTGATACCTTACAGACGGTGACGCAGTCAAATCGCACCAAGGGATAAAAGTGAGCAACATGTGCACAGCTGCCAAACGCTTCAGTGTGCTGCCGGCTGCTCAAGCACGTCCTGCCTTCTGGCAAACGAGCATGGGGTGAGGAAAGATGGATGCTTCGAAGTCAGGTGGTCACGTGCAGGTCATAGCTTGCAGGTGGAACTCCTTCAAAGGGGCTTTTCGTGTCTTAAATTTGCCGCGGCACTCAGCTTGTTGGCTGTGGTGCTTCAACTCTTATGACAAGTGACAAGAAACGGGCATACCCCTTGCGGGGTGCTACCGGGGGATGAAGTCATGAGCAATGCTCTCAATTCAACGCCGTGAAGGCATTCCAAAGTATCGTGGAGGCCGGAGCCATATTTGTGTATTGGAAGAAGCCTTGTCAAAATCAGTGACGTGGGCCGGGAAACATCATGCCGTATCTGGCAAGAAAGTCTGAACAGCAGGGCAAGGCAATGACAGAAACTAATTCAGCCGGGGCTGCGGCGATTCTGCATGTTGAACGAAGATCTTTCTGCCCTAATGTCTCAGCGTGCAGCTGCATTGAAGAAAAGCCCTTCTGGACTTGAATAGCTCTTTGGGCATGGCGAGTAGACACTTCAGGAAGTTCGCTTCCAGAAACATGGTGGCCGGAGCCAGATACAAGACGTCTTCAAAAGAGAAGTTCTCCTCTCGGGACTCGCGTGAATTTCAGGAGAACCAGTGTAATCTGTATTGGTCCACGCGTCTGCTTTAAGCAAACCTGACTGCAAGCAGCAATCTCGGATTCAGCGATTTGATGAAGATTAATCCCTTTCAAGGATCTTTGCTTTGACCCAGTTTGCATGCTAAGGTGTTAGCTTTTCTGAGTCTAGACTGTTGATCACTGTAAGTCCGAGACAGGGCCAGTTCTGCGCATCAAAGCTGCCAGGGCTTCCACTACTGAGGCCGGAGCCTGAAGCAATCCTGAAGAGCTTTCTGACAATGGGGGGATGTCAAAATTATGGTCCCTTTTTGGGTACCCTAAATATTAGGTGCCGCATTATAATAGGGATCCAAAAAGGGACCATAGTTTTGACAACCACCCCAATGGCCCCAAGGGATCTGGCTAGCAGTTGAGGTCAGGCGGCAATCAATCTAGCCTTGGGTCGTCTCGTAAAAGCAGCCCATTCCAGGTTCCAAATGTTCCAACTCCTTGCGCATATTCAGAACAGTCCGTTTCACGGACAGCGGTAGTAATTTTCCAGTAGTTGCCCATTGAGGTAAACAATCTTTCGAGGAGGTTGGGCTGCGCAAGCCTGAACAATTGAAACAAGTTGCGTATGTTGGCGGGGATGAGCCTGAAATCCTGCCGGGCTGCACTCAATTTGTTGCTGTGGCGTCGTCTTTGATGCCTGTGAACCAGCAGCAGAGAAGATATGGGTCTCAGCCATTTCTACATTGTGAGAGGTGTCTGCGTGTCAGCAGCCGCTATTCGTGGCCAGCTTGCCAAAGATTCAAAGACTCACTGAAATCGGAGATGAACGACCAAACTGTGGCGCTTTTACTTTGGGTATCATGCCCCTAGAATTGGAATGGAAGCCCAAGCCAAAACCTGCCAACTCCAAGATGGTTTCTGCGCCACATTGACCCGATGGGACCCATAGGAGAAAAGCTGTTCCTGCATCATGGAGAATTGCAAGGTTACGACAAAAAAGACAAGAGTATATCTTGTGCCGACAGAACCTGGTTACAGGTAAACGAGGTAGGAACTGAGCTAGAGGCATGAATGCAAAGGTTTGGACAGCTGTGATGCTTCAGTCAGTGGGTTTACATGCAAAGCTTCTGATGGCCTCTTTTCCATCAATTCTAGTTTCCTGTGACACCTGCGGCTAGGCAGAGAGAGTGACCGATTCACATGAGCTACCTTGCAGTACTTTACTCATGCAGGATCCGCCGTATCTGAGCACCAAGTGGCGACGTGTGTAGCAGCAGGACAGGACGGGCTGAGGTTTTGCAAAGCTCATTTCAAGCCATGTGGGCAGCTGTAAAAAACGAAACCCACTGTTCGAGGCTACTTGAATTGATGTCCTGTGTTCTGGCGGCACCGTTTGCCACGTTCTGAAATACTGTTCCAACGAGCCAACAGTCAGTCTTTATGCGGCTGTCTATAGATCCAGAGGGACTGCTCATGGCAAGGAACCACTTGATGAAGCTAGACCAGCTTGCATTAGGTATCAGCCACGAGTCACTGTTTCTGATTGATCCCCTTTCAATCGCGAGGCTCTAACCTGGTGCATGCAGTCACGCGTGTAAACAACCGAAGCACTGACTCAGACACCTATTTGGAACTCTTGGAGCCGTGGAAGTACGCTTTTGTTGACATCTTACTCAAATTCTTGAAGCGCGCTTTGGACAAACCTGTTGACATCTTCTTTGGCTCAGGGTGTTTCTGGCAAAGATGAGCTCATGCCTATTGGGCCGTGGCACGCAGGGGCCAAAGTTGCAAAGCCTAGTGTGATCCCATCCTGAGACAAAAGAACACACAACCATTGTCCGAACGCCTGGGTCGAGGCCAAGTGGATTCAGGGCCAAAATCCAGAGAGGGGGAGCAACGGGAGACATACTGAAAGGCCATTATTTCGCGTGAGAGGTTGACATCTCATTCCATCGCGGAGCCAAGGATATGCAGGTCGGCCACATTTCAGCCTCGCTTCTCCTGCAGTGTGGAAGCTGAACGTGGGGATTCATTCGCAAAAGCATCGGTCATAGCAAAAAGAGCATTGCGATATGTACTGCTTGGATTGGATCTGTGTTTCAAGGCACTTCAATGGCTCAAACCAACCCTCCAGCGCTGATACAGGAATCCCTTGAAGACCCTGCTTCCTCAAAGCTGCAGTTCTCCTCTTCCCTAACACTGAACTCTAATAGCCATTCATCTTTCTGCAGTTTGGTACTGTTTCAGGCATGCTTGATTTGTGGAAGGGTTACTTACAGGGCATGAGCGTGCATTCTGGCTGAACCCACCTCAGGCATCGCTCGGTGGAATGCTGGCAAGCCTGAGCAAACGTGCACAATTTCAAAGAAGACTGAAGACCGAAACGCACACATGAGCGCTGCGCTTAGCATGAATATCCCGTACAATCGCTGCATTGTGGTTGTCGATCTCGAAGATTCGCAGGGCCTGCAAGCAAAGCCGTGATAGGCATGGATGTCCCTGTAAGACTTCCATGTCAGCTACTAATGTGCACCACTCTAACTGAGAAGAAAGAATGTTCGTGATTCTCTACTGAAGGCCCTAAATCTGCAAGAAGAACCCAGCCCAAAGCCCTCGTCCCCGAACTCATAAGAAGAACCTCCACCCCCAAGAACACTGAGAGGGTCCTATTTGGGGGCGCTTGGGAATCCAATTTGCCACTTTCTTTTGCATCTGAGTGGAAGTGCCAATAGGATAGGTTATAACATTTTGCATCTGATTCCCAAAATGGTACTTACCTCGTCCGCGAAAGGCATATTCCCAAAACTCTACGTAGCACCTGTATCCGTTTCCATTGCCCTATTTTATCCCTATGGTCCATCATCCCTGATAAGCCCTAAGCCCTAAAGTAGTTCCCCGTATGGTAGTTGATGAAGATTCCTTTCCCGAAAATTGCCATCATACAGTAAATTCCCCCAAGTTTTTCCTTATACCCCAAAACCAAGGATTACAGCCCTTGCCCGTTGCCCTCACACTTTCAACCGGGGGGGGTGCCAGGGGCAGTCAGAACAAAGAAGATGATCTTGGATGGGGATCGAGGCTGTCCCTAAGCCTTAACAAGAAGTAATTAGGGTGGTAGCCTGTGATGTCTCACAGCGGTTGGGAATTTGATTCGATGGATTCTTGGACGATGTCCACAAAGTTCGCTGGGCGCCGGACATGCCGCGACCCGCAAATCCCTGAAAGTGTGGCGTCGCCATCGACGCATAGATACTCAGCCCTGTGCAAGTAGACGCCCTAAACCCGAAACCTAAACCTAAGCCCGAAACTTAAACCCTAAACCCAAATCCCCAAACCCTATAATCCCGAAAGTCTAAACCCTAGAATCCTGTGTCTAAACCCTGGAATCCTGTGTCTAAACCCTAATTTCACAGGGGCTGACCTGCCGCAAGCAACTCTCCGCTTCGAAGTTCTTTCCCAGGACGAGCTGAACCGATCCTAAGGCCTGGCAGTAAGCTCAGTCAGGGGGTTTAGGGGTTTAGGTTTTTTTTTTATCGGACCTTTTCTCCGCAGCCCGGGGGTCCACGGAAATGCCCTAAAGCACGATCCCTGCAAGCCGGCCCGTACCACCTGACGCTTGCAAAAACGACAGCACTCTAGCCTTCTACCGTGCTCCTGACAGTAGCCTTCAGCCCCGAGTACCAAACAACGCAAAGCACAAACCCAAACCCCCAAAACCCCAGAAGCACTCAGAACTTAGGGCCACCAAGCACGTATGGACAGGCATGCACCAACTACCTATCATCGATGCACAAAGCTAGGGAGGTCCCTTCAGCCACGCCTTGAGATCAGTCTGCCTCGACCCTACCCCTCTACTCAACTCAGTAGTGCTCGATGTTGGCTCTTCAGTCCCCAACGTTCCCGACACTCCCGCAGCCGAAGAAGCAGCTCCATGGCCCACGCCAGCAGCTTCGCCCACCATCTCATCAGCATCATCCGCCTGTGTGGGTTCCACGTGGTTGCCTGGCATGGTGTCGCAACCATCACTGATCGGCATGCTGTGCCCCTCGTTCGGATCCGGGATGCCAACACCCAGGCTGCGATCAGCATTGACTCCTCTCCAGAACTGCGCCCAACGGAGAGGGATACCAGTGAGGGGGTCAAGCGCATCTTCTTCACCTCGTTGCTCACAATCTCCTTCACAGCCTCCTTCTCCCCCTTCTGTGTCTCTCTCATCCGATCCGGCTCCAGGTCGGGATGCCAGCCCCGCAGTCGGCAATTCCTCCGTGTTGACTTCCTCACTCTGCTGACCCTCATGCACCAGGCACCCTCTATCGCCCTTTGCGTTGACCTCGGACTTGTCTGCTCCATCGTTCTTACTGGAGCACGCTCCCCGGCTTTCCTCACCAGTTCCTTCGATGTCCATCTCGTTGTTTTCTTCACAAGCGCCCGCATCGGAGGTTCCCGCCCCCACGTGCTCCACTTCATCGTCATGTTGCCCTGACCCTTCTCCCAGCGGCTCAACATACCCCACATCATCACTGCGCGGCCTCTCTGAGTCCCAAACCGGCTTTTCCACCCTGATTGTTGACGCCTCTGAGCTGGTACTGGCATCGGCCGCGTCTCCTCCCTCTTCATCTCCTTTTCCATCATCAGGGCGACCCACCAGTAGTTCACCACAGTTGCGCGCTGCCTCATTGTTGTCGTGCTGGACTGCAGCCCACATCTCAAACACTTCACTGACCTCGACACCAAACCTCTCCGCAATCACATCCGTCGTGGTCAGACCCTCGCAGAAGAGGTGCAACCAGTGTCTGGCTTCGTCCGTGTTCATGATATCAATCATGTCCTGCCCCAGCCCCGGTAGACATTCCGCGCAGCATGTGCCGCCGCTGCTCGGGGACCATGTTCAACCCCTGCACCTCCTTCAACACCACCCAGGATGGTTTCTTCGACCCGAAAGGAGACAACCGGGACTTGGTCCGCCGCCATGGTGCCCACAACCTCTGCTCCTCCAAGCTCGCTGCCTGATGGGCTTCCCTCTGTCAGAACCACCCGGATTCGTTTCCGACTCGGCAGGGGTTGACCTCGGTCCAACTCCGAGCGCATGGTCCAGTCATCCCAGCTCTGCTGCATCGCAGCCTCGACCAGTTCTCCTCATCTCTGGACGCCTGAATGGCCTGCTCCACTGCCACTGCCTCGTCGTGTGCCCGAAATTCCAGCCTCTTGTGCAGTGGTTGGTTCCCATTCTCCATCCGCCGTTCTGCGGACTCGATACTCCGGTACCTCCGCATCGTCCCGGATCGAGTCATTCACGACGAAGACGTCTGTCGAGCTGCCAGCTCCCGTGCATCCTAGTGTTTCTGTGGCAGCAGGCGGCGGTGCCCTCCCCGCCCCTCCACCCAGGTATGTCACCAAGACCTGCAGTTGTTTCTCACACCAGACTTGGAGCTCGAGCGGGGTGTCCACGGTCTCGGTGTGGTAGCAAGCAATGAGTGCTTCAAGTCGGTCGAAACGATCTCTTCTCTGTTTAGTCAGGTCCCCTGCAAGGCGACGTAGTCTCTCCGTCATGATCCTCAGGTGCGATGCTGCTTGGGCGCTGCGGCTGTCGTCCATCCCGTTCAGGTGTGCTTGCAGCATGGAGAGTTTGGCCCCAAAAGGCACCAACGCTTCGTGGTCTATCTGCATGACAGAGAAGTCATCTCCCTGGCGGTCGGTGTTCCTCACTGCCATCCCCACCTGCACCAGCACTGCCTGGTCGTCATCCTCAATGGGGACTTCAACGACCTCATCCGGGTTGCCAGCCACGGCCTCGTTGATGGCTCTCAACAACTCAGCCATGAATGCTCCCAAGAACGGGATCAACTCCGAGAGCATATACGTGCGGTGCTCGACACTCATCGGCCTGATATTGGAGATGATAGTGTCCACTGTCTCGTTGCTGAGCACGGTCTGGCAGTTCTCCACAGGGTCATTCAACCCTACAAGCTCACTCCACCACAGGACGTTGTCGCCCATGGCCTGCCCTGGCCGTGGGCTTCGCACAGCAGTGCTTGCCGTGCTCGCACGTGCTGGCGGGCCAGACGACGGTCTCGCCCTCCTGTCATCTGCCGAGCGGTCACCTGTCCGGCGATCGCCCCGCCATGGCGCCTTCAGCGGCCTATGCGACACCGTAGTGGTAATTGGTCTAGTTCTGCTCGAATCAACAGTCCAACTGTGCCTACGCTGCTGTCTGTCCCTTTCTTAGTTCCTGATTTCCCTCTGCCGGCGTCTTCTCCTTGGGGTCGGTGACCGGCCTCGCTTGCGTTGCATTAGGCTGACCGTGTCCTCTAGCTCTTCCATCCCAATGCCACGGCCCCTCGCCATGTCACCAGCGAGGTCACTACTGGTTTGACGTCCGCTGCAGCATGCCTGCGCCCTTGCCCTTTGCCACGGGGACCGGTGTATTCCAGGACAACGGGACGGTCTCCTGGAGTGTCTGCTCTTGCCTCCTTACTCGGTTCTCACCCCCAACTGCCACATTGTGTCCCCGAACTGGTAGGGTGACCACAGCCGCGGATGGATCCCTCACAACCATGTCATTCGCTTCCGTCTTAAGGTACTCGCTCACATTCATGCCAAAACCCTCAAGCACCGCCTGCACACCCTGGTTGTCCAATTGTCCTTGCCAGCCATGTCCGACCAACCCGACGCAGAGCAGGACCATTTCCTCGTCTACCTGGGGCACCGAATCCTTAGCCTGGAAAACTGCAATGCCCTCAAGCGTGTTGCACTCGACGCAGCTGCCATCATTCCTCAGCAAGCTCATAGCGACCCCAGGCATGCGCGCCATATGCCCCGGGGGCACATTGCACTTCTCCCTGTCATCCTCCCGTCTTTGGCAATCCTGACAGGCTCCGCCCTTCATGCCTGCAGTCACCCACGCAGGCTGGCACATACCAACGTCATCACGCTTCATAGTCTCGATGCTCTCTCCCTGGTCAGTGTCAAACCCCTCACTCAAACCATGTGCTTGGCTGCTTCCTTGCTGTCCCCAGGATTTAGGGTTTAGGGTTTAGGATTTAGGGTTTAGGGGTTTAGGTTGGGTACTGCCCCCCCCCAGTAACAGTCTATATTAGGGGTCCTATTAAGGGCTATCTATAACCATATTTTAATTATTGTCCAACTGTTACTGAGGGGGGGCAGTACTGAAGGTTGAGGGTTCAGGGGTTAGGGTTTAGGGCTTTAGTAGGCGTTTAGGGTTTCACTTTACTACAACTATGGGGGGTTTCCTAAAATTAGGGGTACCATCCTGGTGCCCATAAGAAGGATTGTAGTATTTTGGGATCTATATTGGGGTCCGCCTAATTTGAGAACTACCATACGCTGTGTAGGTGTTATATGAGGGCTACATGAGGGCTATATGGGGCTACGTAGATGGTGGCTACACGGATGCTATATAGGGTAAGTGTCTTGCTCAGCAAGTCGGCCTTTTATGCTGTTCAGGGTTCAAGCGTGGGTGGCTTCTGGCTGGGGGGGGAAGCCCCAAAACCTAGACCCTTAGCCTGAACCTTATGGAATCTTGGAGCAGCGACTGTTCGGCAGCAGGCCCTAATTTAAACCTTGCTTCATCTTGGTATTCTTACTGCTGCATGCAACTTGCCACAAAGTTGGAAGGACAAGACCGCGGAAGCTATATCTGAAGCCTTCAGCGTGCGCGCAACTTGTGTAGACCTCGGCAGGCTGTTTGCAAGATGATGCTGGGCAAGCACATCTCTGAATCAAGGGGGCGCCAGAACCATCCACAATGAATGTGCTTCTGCAAAGGGCATATGAAAAAAGACATCCTGGCAACTGAAAAGTCAAACTCAATATCTCCAAACTTGGACCCGTGCTGCGAACCATGGAGCCTGGCGGTGCCAAGCAAATAGGAATTTAGGGTTTGGGGTTTATGGTTTTAGGAGTTTAGGGTTTAAGGTTTGGGGGTTTACCAAAATCAGGGGTCCACTTTTGGGGATCCCTATAATAAGGATTATAAGCATATTCGGGTTCATGACATTCATATTGGGATCCCCAAATTTTGGGGAAACTACCATTTTGGGTTTGGGGGGTTTCGAGGGTTTAGGGATGGGGGTGGGGCCCGGGATTGTAGGATTTGAGGTCTAGGGTCAATGAATGATGTCTGAGGTTGTAAAAATTTGTCTCTTCTTGGACCCAGAGGCTAGTGAAACCCTTTCAAAGCCCCAAACCCCAAACCCCCAAACCAGAAACCCCTCTCAAGCACCCTCTACTCCCCCCACAGCCCCTGGCATCCCCCCCTTTCCGGAGCAGCAAATTTTAGGACGGGCTTGAGAGTTTGGGAGTGAGGACCAGTGAGCATATGGGTAGTTCCCAAAAATAGGGTCCCATTTTGGTACCCCTGAATGTTAGGCGCCGTAGTATAATCTATCACTAGAAGTAAGGGGCCCATAATGTTGAGAGCAGGCCATTTTTGGATTGGAGTCAACCCACAACACCACACCCGAACCCCCTGTCAGCCTTCGTCTAATGCCCCCCCAATCCCAAATCTGATCTACGAGAAAGTTCTGTGCACCCCAACCGAGGGTCACCTGTTTTGAATTGGAATGAATCGGAGTTGGCAGTAGTATCCAGAAGCACTTGGGATGCACCTTCGCTCCAGGTAGTGGACATCATTGAGGTACTGCAGCGCCTTGGACCGGGATCGTGCTTCGGTGCGTCTAGCACGAAGTCAACTGCTGCTTCAGGGCGCCGACTTCGTCATGTTGCCCAAGCTTGATGTAGAGCAGCGCCATCTGAGTTCCGCTGAGAACTTTGGCAGAGAATTGAATAATTTACCATGAAAAGCTGACATTGAAAAGCATGATCAAGACTGGCAACTGCGGACTGGATAGAGTATCTCCCTTAATGACCCGTATAGTAATCACTATACAAACCCCACTTAACCCTAAACGCTGAAGCCTAAGTAAAGCGGGTTTTATGACCCCCATTAACCCCCTATATCATCCCCTTTTGGAGGTTTAGGGGACAAAGTGTCTGGCATCGCGCTTCACATCCACCACGTGGGGATCTTCCTCACCTGCTTCTGGGTTTATAGTCCCCCTCAAGTAGATAGAATATGGATATATAGGGATCTAATTATCATAATGGCAAATTCCATGTTCTATCTGCTATAAGTGGACTATATGAGCAAGGTCAGCAGTTAGCAAATCATGGACGCTTGTCATGGTCCTTCTCCTTCCTTAACAGTTTCATTGTCCATTGTTTCCATTTCCACTTGTTTCTCCATCACCTGTTGTCAAGAACTCCAGCTTACATAGCCACGCAACCAGATGAGCTACAGTCTAAACTCCTACTCCCCCTTCCCCCCCCCCCACCCATACTGTGGATGGAGGAAATCTTGCACCGCTTTTAGAACAAAGATTTCTTACAGCCCCGTACCCCCTTCTTAATATTGGCATTGAAAGCCTCCAGAAACAAATTTGTTCCAATGACGGAAATCTTGCACCGCCTCAGACAGAACAGTTGTCAATGTTAAAAAGGGGTTGCAGGGATTTGTCGTCACGTCATTGAAAATGCTTACTATGTA